CTGAAGCCCAGGAGGCCCTCTCTGCGGGGGTCCCCCTGGGTCTCTATCTTTCTGTGTTCCCGGGGGATTTTCCCTTGTTCTTGCTCAGTCTCTTCTGCCCTCCTCTCCTCCCCTCCGCTCCTCAGCCCTCTTTTCCGCTACTCTTCCCACCTCCCCCGTCCTTGTTTCTCTCCTCTACTGCTTCTTTTACCTTTCTCTTTAGTCTGTGGCTGGGTTTCCCTGTGCCTTCTCCACTATCTGACCCCCCCCCCCTTCTTCTATTACAATAATTTGAGTAGAGGTCATTTCTTATACATTCCTTTTATATATTTTTAAAAATAAGCATGGCTATTTATCCTAGGAGAAAAACATACTATTAACTTCTTTCCAAAAAACGAAACAAAATCAAACCTTCATTTTCTTCCTGTTCTGAAATCTTATAAACTTTACCTAGAGGTAAAAGTGGGCCTTTGTCTCTAACTCAGAGCTGGAGTAGACCTTGCGGGAAGAAGCCAGCTTCCTGTGGTGCCAAGGATGTGAGAATACGTAAGATTATCTAGAATCTGGAGTCGGTTTTCATACACCATGTGTATTTCTCCCCCACCCTCGCTCTGAACTTCTGTCCCGAGGGTCACAACACCTATAGCGCCCGGCCAGGGAAAGGAGCTGCCGGATTCTTTTGATATAGAACTTACTGAAATAAAACCAACAGAAACATCAACAAAACACCGATCTGACCTTAACGTGACCTCAAACAACGCGTCCGCGGAAACAATGACATGTCCCTATCTCTGGGTCGCCGATTCTGGAGGGGAAAGTCACATTTGGGGGAGGGGGCCGGGAAAAGAAGACAGTTCCCGGCGGTGGACTCTCGTGCGGGACTTGAGAACTTTTGTTTTGCCGATTTCGGAGAAAACATGATTTAATGTTTGCTGTTAATAAAAAGAAAGTAACAAACAAGAAAAATGAGTTAGGGTCAGGGGAGATGCAAGATCTGTGCGAAGCGGGGTCGGCGCTTGGCCATTTTCTGCGCCTGTCGCTTTATGGCCTCTCCTCCCGCGGCCCAGGCCAGCGACTCTCAGGGAGTGAGCGGAGGTGATTGGCGGCTCACTCGGCCCTGCCATTGATGACTGCGGGGTTCTAATCTCCAGGAAACACAAGGGGCTGCCGTGGCCATTTAGGGGTAATTATCCGAGCGCGGAGGGACAGCGAATTCCCTCGACTTTTAACTGGGCGCAATAAAAGCTGTAGATTAGGGGCGTTCAGATTACGGAAAATGAATTAGAGCGGGAACTTTATTAACCGGAAGACGTCCGGGGTCTGGCCGCAGGGGTAGGGCTGCGGACGCCGGAGAGATTGGTAGCCTCCCATCTGTCCCCGAGATATGTTGAGACCTGGGGAAGTTCGGTAATACCTGCATCTGTGAATTTTACGGGCATCTCAGGTTTCTAACGGACCCAAGACTGTAACTCAGGCACTGGGCAGTGTTTGGAGCTTCTAGCTCGAGTTGGGCCGGCTGGACGCGCCGTGCACCGGGGCCCCTGGAGGTTTGCCCGAGAGGGTACAAGGATAGAAGACTTTACGACCCAATTTTGAAGCTCAGCTCGCTGAGGCTGAGCAAGGCTGTGGGGCAAATACCTTGCTGGTAGCCCAACCAGGATGGCGAACTTCGTCCTCCTCCTCCTCTTCTTCTGCTTCTGCTTCTTCCTCTTCCGCTTCCCCTTCCCCTTCCTATTCCCTTTCTTCTTCTCTCCTCCTTCTTCTTCTTTTTGAGACGGAGTTTTGCTCTTGTCGCCCAGGCTGGAGTACAATGGCGCGATCTCAGTTCACTGCAACCTCCGCCTCCTGGGTTCAAGCGATTCCAAAACGGCAAACTTCTATTGCTCCCTTTCTAATCACTCTCTCCAGAACAACTCCCTCCGCGCCCAGCGAGAATCTCCCTTTGCGGCCAGGTTAAAGGGGGAGAGGAAACAGAGGCCTATCTGCTTTTGCGGCCAACATTTAAAAAGCGAGCAGTGTGCCCTTTCGAGTCTTTGCTTAGTTCCGCCCTCACCCTTCTTCTCCAAAGTTTTGCTCCCAGGTCTATTTAAGAATCTGATACAGCCAAGAACTTCTTCCCTAGAAAAATGCACATCTACAAAAACACATTACAAGCAACGGTGCAGACAACTTCAGGGGCTCTGGACCCACATGGAGTGCTCCAGTTAAGAACCCCTGCTTTAGAGCTGAGCGGGGGCTCGAACCCAGAGTGTGGAGCCGCAGGGTGCAGCGGGGGCTAGTGTGGAACTTGCGGCGGTGGCAGTTGAGGAGCGCAAGAGGCCTGGATTTGGCCACGGTGGGGAGGAGGGGGCGGACGGCCTGAGAAGGGCCGCATCGCTAATTGCGGGGATAAACAATCTGTCACGATTCCTCAGCGCGCCTAATAGGCAGACTAGGATGTTGTTTTAAGGCGCCAGCGGCGGCCTGATCAAAGGCTGCACCCGGCGCACGGGCCCTTGAAGTCGCGCCCCTGCCTCCAGGGAGCAAATCGCCTGGCCCCGCAGCCCGGTATCCGCAGCCAGCCCCTCGTCTTCTCGAACCGAGTCTGAACGCCACCTTGTCTTTTTTACAGGTTCGGCCTTGGTTCGTGTCTGCTGTCGCCCAGCGCGGCGGGTTAACCGCGTGTAAACGTTGCTAGGCAAGGAGAGTGCATCTGCAGAGAAGCGGGTTCAGACTCGGTTCCGTGTCAGAAGAGCGCGGGGCTCTCCTACTGATCTGCCCCTGGATTGAGAGGGAAAGGTGCCGGCGGTCTCAAGAGAAAGGAGTCAGAGAAAAGAAATAAAATGTCTGCCTGTTTCCCAGGGCGTTGTTTGTTCCCGCGGAGGAAAGGCACGAGTTAGAGGGGCAGTGAGAGGGAGCCTTCTCTAAGCTATTTTTTGTCTAGGCCTTTACCGATTTCCCGGCCCAGGGGTTCAGCGAGCTGGCAGGCCCGGGGGCTGAGCCTGTTATCTCGCCGCCAGTTCTAACCTCGAGGCGTTTGTACCCCCGGCATTTCTCTGCGCTGCCGTTGCAACCGAGAAAGCCGGGCAGTAATTCATGCCTGGCAAGGGCAGGGCTGGCCCGCAGCAGATAAAGCTCCAGGACTGGCGCTCGGCTTCCATCCTCTAGACTTCCCTCCCCTCCCCCCTCGCTCCATCTCCCTTCATTTTCAGGCATCCTAAAGCACTCCCCGCCCCCCGGTAGAGCGCCTCTGCATTTCGGATCTTGAAGACGGATTATCCTTCGTCTACTTTCTGGGCAACTGAACTGGTGGTGGGTTTAGGTGGATTTTTTTTTTTTTTTTTTTCCTAAAATTTTGCAGGGGTTGGGGGAATGGAGGCAGGGGTGGTGGTGTTGCTAGGTATCCACCACCTCTATGCAAAGATTAATTTTTAGAAGGACCCCATCTTAAAGACGGTTGTCTCAATCTGGGTATTGCTGCACGGGTTGGAGAGCCTGCAGGCTGGCTTCTCACTTCGGCATTTGTTGTCGCCTCCATCGGGTTTTTGTTTATGCCCCCTCCCCCTCTTTCCACTGCATTTTGTGGCCTCGGCCCAGGAATCCCGCGTGCATTTTTTAAAATGTGCAGCTCAGTGGGATCCCCCGGCAATTAGCGAGCCCCAAACAGTCCTCTTTAATAGAATGAATGTGCTATGAAAACCGATTACCCGGAACGATTTATTTTGGTGGGAATTCACCAATCGCCAGGAGGGCGACGGAGTGGGGAGAGGGAGGAGGTATTTTGTCCTGGGGAGGGGGTGGGGGTTGACGGGTAGACAGAAAGCACCGTCATGGGGTCTCCCAATCTCGGGAGGGGGCCTCCCGACCCCGCCATCTCCACTCTTTTGACCTCTGTCGCCTAGAAGTGAGGAGCTGGGAGTCAGGTTCAGCAAACTGTCTGGGAGTCACTAACTTCGGGAGGACTTCACGGCTTTCCAGAGAAAAACTCCGAGCCCTGAGAACTACAGGGAGTCCTCAGCTATTGGCTGAAGATCCACGACACAGACCTGGAGAAAAACAGCGTTCTGCTTTCCGGAGACGTGGGCAGAACTTGCGCTTTTCAGGAGTTTTAGTACCTCCTTTTAAAAGCGAAGTCAAAATACAAACTCTTTGTGAAAATGTTTCCTCCTTCTTGCTAAATGCTCCTCAAAGTGGGTGCAACTTGTGCGGTGGTACAGTCCGCGTGGAGTGGATTTCACCCGGCGCCAGAGCGAAATTGACAAGCCCCACTCCCTGCTTCTGCCCCCATCCCGCCCTTCCCCCACTTTCTGCTTTCTCTTCTGTCCCAGGCCCGGGCTCCCTTGTGTCTTTAAATTTGGAAGGGGGTGAGCAGGGCCAGAATCAGCAGAAGAGAGCCCCAACCTCCCCCGCTTTCAAATGGCCCAAATTAATGTGATCGCGACGTGAGGGTGCACTTGGGAAGATGAAAGCAGAGGCCGGCCGGCTCTCCTAGAGCTCTATAATTATAGATAATATATCCCATTTCAAAGCAATTAGACCAATCAGGCGTAACGAACCACTTTGCTGCCGACGAATAACAAAGGCGCACGGTTATTTAAGCCCGGAGATGTCAGGCAGACCCCGAGGCTCCAGGGTCGACCAAACATCTTCCATTCTGGCTCTGCCCACCCCCGGCGGAGGAAGGCTGGCGCTTCTCCCCTCCAGCTCTGCCCTGCGCAGCCCGCCGTGGGCCCCATCTCAGTTCCGGCAGGGGGTTGGAGGGAATGCGAGGAAGAGAACTGCCTCATATTGAGTTGGGTGTCAGGCCCCTTGTCAGAGGTTTCACAAACTTTATCTCTTTTAATCCTCTCTACTCTGTACTCTTGGAGGTAGGTATTGTCAGCTTTCCCCCCACCCCACCCCCCAAGATGGAAGAACAGAATCAGAGAGGTTAAGTGTCTTGCTCAGGGTCACACAGCTAGTTAGTAGTAGGACCGGGATCTGTTCGCAGGTGGGTCTGAATGCCTGGAATCCACTCCCTTCACTCTTGGGTGCAGCCTCTCTCGGGGCGCTTTCAAAAGACGAAATGCATTAAAATATAGCGAGTGTGGACAATGGCTTACACCTCTAATCCCAGTACTTTGAAAGTCGGGAAGATCGCTTGAGCCCGGGAGTTCAATCCCAGCCTGGGCAAAATAGAGGGACCTCGCCTATACAAAAAAAAAAAAAAAAAAAAAGTCCAGGAGTGGTGGTGCGCGCCAGTAGTCCTGGCTACTCAGGAGGCTGAAGCGGGAGGATCTCTTAAACTCGGGAGGTTAAGGCTGCAGTGAGCCGTGATCGCTCCACTGCTCCAGCCTAGGTGACAAAGCAAGACCCTGTCTATAAAAAAAAAAAAAAAAAAAAAAAAAAAAAAGTGATGCTCGCAGTATTTTTATGGAACCGCCTCCGCGTCCCGCCCCCCAATCCACGAAATGGGTCTTCGGGCCGTACTCACTACTTTTCTCTTATGCTCCTCCCCCTCCCTCCCACCACCTTCTTTGGGAGTCCTGAACACTGTCGAGTTTTTCCATGAATTTAGGAAATGTCGAGGATCTCAGGTCTCTCTGAGAAGAAAACAGACCCAGGGCTGCGAGCCAGGTAACCAGCTGAGGGTGGAGGGCCAATTTTTCTAAGCCTCTGTTTGTCGTCTTTGAAATGGGCAAGGACGGGCAGGAGCAATGATCAAGAGACTCTGGAAGACAGAGATTCCCCGGCCCAGGAGGCGCAGAGCCACGGAGGGTTGGGGACTGTCCTTCCGTGGACACCGCGACGGAGAGAACCGAAGACCGCCCGACGCCTCTGAGAGACCCAGATATGGAGTGAAACTGAAGGCAAGCTGGGGATGCCGAGAGAGGCCAGAGCTGAGGCTGGAAAAGAGGGGCGTCCAGGGAGAGAGTTTCCCCCGGAAAAGCCGCCCCGCGCCCCACCTTCGCGGGGGCAGCTGTCGGGATCGTGCGGGGTTCGGGAGCTGCCTCTCCACGAGGAGGTGGCCCGCGGACAGCCCGGTGGGTGGGAGGAGTCTCTTATTTTTCTAGGACTCAGGTTTGTCCCTGGCTTTCGGCGACATTCCTTTCCTGTGTCTGTCAGTCTGTCTGTCTGCCTCTGAATGTCGGCGCCTAAGGCGGTCTCCCCTCCGAGCGCCTCTCTTGGTCTCTGTGGGTAGGTCTCGCAGCCTCTGCCTCTTCCGCTCTCTGCACTGCTTCTCCAGGCGCGTGGCTCGGTCTCTCTTCCCCTCCCTACTGCTCGGCTGTTTTCTCTGGAAATCTCTCTCGCGTCCCCCGCCCCTCCGCCCAAGTTTAAGTCTGAATCACTGCTGTCAAATCTCTGAGAAGCTGCCATGAGTCCAGCAAGTTCTTCCTGGAGGCTGTCTGCGATTTCTGCAGCAGCGGGCGCACCTTCGGGAGAAGCAGTACAGCGCCGGGTCGGCCCAGGCGGGAGAGGGAACTCCTGCAGGTGGCTTTTCCGCGGCTCCCTTCCCACGTCTGGACCGCGAGCTGCACAATGCACTGCCTTCCCCCGGGCAGCACTGAGGACCGAGGAGCAGTGGCCCAGGCCGCAGCAGGCCGGGCTGAGCTTGAAGGAGCCAGCGTATAGTAATTCATCCCCACTGTCCCAGAACACGAGGAATGGAACTGGAGGGTGCAAGCGGGGCAATGCAGAGGATCTTAAGGAGGGGGAAAGGGTCACCGGGAACCCACCAGTCGGCCCACCCGGGAGCCGCTGGAGGCAGCAGGCAGCGTCTGTTTTCTGGAGGGGCAGCTGGTACAGCGCAGGGCACCCAGGCTGGACTCCAGCATGTTCCCTTTTAGCTGCTGACTCCCTGTCTTTAGGGCTGGAAGAGCCACAACCCCGGCCACCTGGAGTCTCCGCCCTCTTGCGCTAACCGCCCAGAGCTCCGCCGGCCCAGGATAGGCAGCAGCAGGCCTACGCCCTGTATCTTTGGGCCTGGCTTTGTCGTCCTTGAGCGAGATGGACGGGTGTTCACCCTACCGGAGGGCCCTTCTGGGTAGAGAACAGAGGTCCAGAAGAGACAGTGGCTGGGAAGCCTCCCGCATGCAGTAAGTGCTTAATCAGTGCTCACTGAGTATGAAGAGAGGAAGGAGAGAGTCCATGGAGTTTGCCTTTCAGTCAAAAAACCAATAGTGAATTTCAGTGGGGAAAGTTGGGGAGGTGGAGCACCAATGACCCAGGGTCTCTGTGACTTCTGTGAGACCTGGACAAGGCTCTTTCCTCTCTTGCCTGTTTTCCCCAGGCACGGCCTCTTGCTCGCCACAGCCCCCACCCCAACCTGGGTTTGTTATGGAGAATAGGGCAGTCCCTCCCCCTCCCCGGGTGGGGTGGGGATGCTGTGTGACATTTTTTTGGTCCTTGCACTTTTCTGAGCCAGGGTCACTGACACGGCTGAGACCAAGCTGAGGGACTGGGGAGGGGAGGGGCGGGATGCTCATGCTCACTCCTCCTCAGGCCTTCCTTTCGGCCCAGGAAAACAAAACAAAACAAAAACAAAAAAACACCGGGGCTGCAAGAAATTAGACATCTGGCGCGACACCCATCCTCCGTAGAAAGGGACACTGAGGCCCAAATAGGAGTCATTTTCCCGGAGGTATCTGAGCCAGAAACTGTCAGAACTGATATTAAGTGCATGTTTTCCAACCACCAACTCAGTGCTCATCCTTCCTCGTCCTCAGAAAGGTCAAGATACCTGGGGCATTCCCCTGCCTCTCTGAGCAGAAGCCACCTGCGCCATGTGGCCTGCACCTTTGCTACCTCGCAGAGGGCCATGCCCATTCATAAGGACTGGGGTGCAAAAGGCTGTAAAGTGTGGGGCACCCTGCACACTCTGGCCCGGTAGGTTCGGAGAGCATCTCTTCTGCTCCCTGGTGTGGGAGGAGGGTGCAGCCCGGGTTCAGTTCTTGGAGCTGGGGGCGCCTGGAGAAAACCCGCTTTGACTACGTGCTCCTCCGTGCTAGGTGCTTCACATGCACCACCAAAGTTAATTCTCATGACAGTCCCGAGGTGAGCACCCCACTTTTCAGATGAGAAAGTGGCCACCCCGGGAGTTGAAGTGGCGAGGTCCTGGCCGCGCAGCTGTGCATGAGGACCATCAGGACTGGAACCCGTGGGCGCCATTGCGCGGTTTCCC